GTCTAGGAAGAATGCATGTGAGGTGGGAAGATAGTTTACGATCTCACCATGGTGCTTTGTGATAATGACCTCTTGTGGGAGACTCGCTATGTGCCACTGTGCTAACCCCTCTTCATCACAGACTGTCTCAAGTCTTCAGCTTTCTTCTCTGTACTATGACCCTGATGTAGCAGCCAAGTCATCCTTTTATGAAAAACCATTAATGATGACATCTCATTCCCCAGAGAGTAAGATCCAAACTCCTCAGTTTGGCTATTTAGAGACTTGTTGGTGTGACCCTTCACAGCTTCACCTCACTGTGCTGCCTATGAACATGTATTCATTCATCCAATAAGCTTTTTTTTTTTTTTAGTACCAGGGATTGAACTCGGGGTCACTTGACCATTGAGCCTCATCCCCAGCCCTATTTTTTTTTTTTTTTTGCATTTTATTTAGAGATAAGGTCTCACTGAGTTGTTTAGCACTTCACTTTTGCTGAGGCTGGCTTTGAACTCAGCCTCCCGAGCTGCTGAGATCCAATAAGTTTTTATTGAGCACTTACCATGAAAGAATGTGTTATGATTTGGATATGAGTAGATCCCCACAGAGCACCTGTTAATGCAGGAATATTCAGAGGCAAAGTGATTCGATTATAAAAGCTGTAACTTAATCAGTCTTTAGTTCAAATGAATTGATTGGGTGGTAACTATAGGGAAATGTGGGTGGTTGGGAGAAGTGGGTCACTGGGGATGTGCCCTGAAAGGGTGCCTCTTCCCTGCAACCCCTTCCCGACCTTGCTTTGCTTCCAGACCCCACCACAAATTGAGGAGCACTCCTCTGCTGGGCCCTTCCCCCATGATGTGCTGCCTCACTTTGGGCCCAGAGCAGTGGACTGAGCCCTCTATGGACTTAGAACTCTGAAATCACAAGCCCCAAATAAGCTTTTCCTCTTCTAAGTTGTTCTTGGGTATTTTCGTCACAGTGATGAAAAAAAGAGAATGGAAACAAGAGAAATGCTCCTTCCTGTCATGGAATTTACCAAAATAAAATAAATTATCTGGCAGGTACTAAGAACTTTGGTGAAAATAAAAAAGGAAAATGTGGTAGAGAGTGACTGTTGGGGGAGGAAATCTAATTTAGACAGGATCATAAGGGAAAGTCTTGGTAAGGAGTTGTGTTTAGGCTGAAACCTGGTTGGAAAAAAAGGAGCCTCTACAAAGATCTGGGCAAAGAACATTCTGAGCAGAGAGAACAGTTAGTACCAAGGCTCTGTGGGTGCACACAACTTTGGCATGACTTAAGAACAGAGAATGCAAGTGTGCTGAGGCATAGCAAGGGAGAGGAAGGCGACATCAGAAGAATTTGAAAGGGGAAGAGTCCAAATGACAAGGCCTTCATAGACCTGGATAAAAGTTTGGGTCTTTATCTTAAAAGCAATGGGAAGGTGCTGATGTTAAGCAGAGAGGTGATATGATTAGAGTTAGGATTTTCCGGCTTCTATAAGAGGAAATCTGAGCAAAAATAAAATTGAGATAAGTTAGTAGGCTGCTGCGAGAGTTCAGGTAAGAGAGTGGGTGGTTCATTGTGGGAGAGTGGCAGTGGAGATGGAGAGGTTTGATAATATGCTTGAGAGGAATCTAAGAGGTAAAACTGAGAGTGCTATGCAGTGAGTTAGAATTTGTAGAGAGGACACAGGGAACATATGCAAGAAGCTGATTGTCTAGTCATAGGGATAGGAACTAGGAAAAATATTGAAAGACAGTAACCTCCACTCCCACCAATAGCATTTAATAGTTCCAAGTTGAGCATGGTGGTGCACTCAGAAGCTCAGGAGCCTGAGGCAGGAAGATCACAAGTTCAAAGCAACTTGGAGAGGCCCTAAGCAACTTAGGGTGATTCTGTCTCAAAATAGAAAATAAAAACAGGGAGGGGGATGTGGCTCAGTGGTTGAGCATCCCTGAGTTCAATACCTGGTATAATAAATAAATAAAATAATAATAGTAGTAGTAGTAATAATAACTCCTGCTTGGGTTGGAGATAGAGCTCAGTAGTAGAACTCTTGCATAGTATGTGAAAGGTGCTGGATTCAATTCCTAGCACTGCCAAAAAAAAAAAAAAAAAATCTCTGTATTGGGAGTGGCACAGAGAGGACAGAGGAAGGTGGGTGGCAGGTTCACAAGTAAGTCACACATTACCACTCAAGAGCTCACATCTCACAGCATAAGTGCATCAGTAGATGTGCAATACAAAAAACAAACTCTTAGGAATAAGACTCAATATATGTGACAAACCATTAAGCTCTGTCTGCAAAATACTATTAGGAAGTAGGAATAGGAGGGGATAAAGGCTAGGTTGAAGTGGCCTTTAGTTGGGAAGGAATATGCCAACTCTACTGGAAGAAATAAATTTTTACCTTTCCTCTGAGAACCTGGGGGCAAGCCAAGGAGCAGGAGAGGAACCAGAGATACAGCCTACCTACTTCTGTCCTCTCTAAGCATGAAAATTCACACATGGAAGAGCCTGTTCCCAACATGTGACAGCAGTAGGATCTCATTTGTAAAGAGCCAGAAGATATCAGATATCTGGTATAACAAATACACTAAGGCCTAGAGTGATTAACTGACCTGAAAAGGAGAATTGGCTAGTAAATAACTGCATCAAAACTAGAAGCTGGATTGGACCCAAGGGTACTCTACCACTGAGCTATATCCCCAACCCTTTTTATTTTTTATTTTGAGACAAGGTCTCCCTAAGTCACTGAGGCTGGCCTTCTGAGTCACCGGGTTTACAGGCCATTATATCTAGCTAGAAGTTGAATCTTCTGATCCCTGGTTCTGTGATGCTCCCAGATCCTGCCAAAAATCTAGGGTTACTCACATTAAAAAAAAACAAAAACACAAATCAGGTTCCTAACTGGGTTTGTGGTTATGACTCTTTGTGGTAATGTCTTGTTTCTCTTAAATTCCTCTAACAGGCTCCCTCTTGTGGGACACCCTTCCAGGACATCTTATATCAATCCACTACAAATTCTCAAAATGGCTCTTCTGAGGGACATTCAATTCTGTACTTTCTCATTCTAGCCTCTGGCCAAAACATTTCCATTTCTGGAGAGATGAAGCCCCTGAATCTCATGTAAATCACCCCTTACCTCTGCTTGCTGGGCTCCTCTTTTACCTTCTCATTTGATTTTTACAAATGTCCTTCTTTTATACATATCGATGGCATTTGATTTAGAACAACACTTGGATAGGCAAAATAAATGAAGATGGCATATTCTCAATTTACAAAAAAATGGGATGTAAAATCATTCCCAAATAATAGGGATGTAGTTTTTCTCTCCTGATTCTGGCCAGGAAAGTATTAAGAAATATTAATTGGCAAGCTAGAGATTCCATCCCTAAGAAATCACTCCAGTATTTATTAAACTCTTTAGCACAATGTTTTATGAGGGACCTAGACAAACTAGAAGGGAGTACGGGAGGAAAATTATTATGAGATTTATGCATTTAGAAATTTCCTATCAGACAGGGTCTGTCAATGGAAAGGGGCTTAGAGATGTGGGTCATGGAGGCCAAAATTTAGATGGCAATATTAAAAAAGTCAGAGAGTTCTAATCAGGCAGCTACTTTTTTATTTTTAAACTGGGGATTGAAGTGGCACTTTACCATGTGCTAAGCCCCTAGTCTCCCCCCGCTTTTTTTATTTTGAGATAGGATCTCACTAAGTTACTGATCACCTCACTAAGTTACTGATCACCTCACTGTCACTGAGGCTGACCTTGAATTTTCAATCCTTTTGCCTCAGCCTCCCAAGTCATTGTGCCTGGTTAATCAGGCAATTATTGTGCTATTTCTATGCAAACTATATTTCAAAGGAACCACATAGTAGATAAAGGAGAGTGGTCTTTATAGAAATATTCCAGCTAATAACTGAAGAAGGAATGATTGGAATAAAATATTACCATTTGGCAACCCCAAATAAAATAAGGGATTACCAATGGCTACTAACATCATAAGATGAGAGAAAAGAAGGAGGGTGTGGTGGCACACACCTATAATCCCAGTGATTTAGAGGCAGGAGGATTGCAAATTTAAGGCCAGCCTCAGCAATGTAGCAAGACCCTGTCTCAAAATAAAAAATAAGAAGGACTCAGTGGTAGAGCAACTGAGGACTCAATCCCCATTATCAAAACAAAGGGCCCCACACCACCAAAAAAAAAAAAAAAAGTGATGCGCACTCAGTTCCCTCCTTAGCTCATTGCACCCTTAGCCCTCCATTCTTATTCCATCAGAATCAAAGACCCCAACCTAGGATCCTGTAAAACTCCCTCAGAATTGGACTACATCCCTCAGTCGTTTCTAAATCCACAGTGCTTAATGGATGGAATATGGTTCCTCCAGTTCCGTGTCCCAGAGGCACTAACAAATCCTAGACCTGGTCTGGTCCATGTTGTTGAAGAGAAAGAACTGCAGATTGGAAACCTAGTCACCAGGAACCAGATCTGGCTCTTTTATAACCATGTGAACTAATGAGTCATGTCATTTAGCATTTTTGCACCTTAGTTTTCCAATAGATTTAAAAAAAAAGTTCCTCATTATAAGACTGAGGGACACCTGGAGACATAGCCAGAATTTCCTGGGGAAAAAAAAGACATTAGTAATAGTAGTTTAACAAGAAACTCTAGAGATATTACATTTATAATTCAACAACAAAATGTGTGTGTGTGTGTGTGTGTGTGCACGAACCCGCATGTATTTTAGATAAATAAAACCTTGGGCAGAAGGTAAGGTTAAGTATCACTCAGGCCTGAGAGGAGATAAAAGTCTAGCAAATTTAAGGGCCAGGGCTAGGACCCCAATACTTTACCTTCTCAATGAAGTCAGTATTCTTTCCAATAACCTGACTTCCCTTGATTTATTTCAATTAAATATAGGAATGTTTTAGTGCATAAAATGAATGGCCCTACAAGGGTCAGAGAGTTGCATTAACTTAAAAGTAAAGGGACACAATGACCCAGCAAATTAGAAAACAAGATTGCTTCCTTTAGTTAAATGCCAGGAAGGATTCCTGTAATATCATTTGACATTTTCAGCAATTTTGCTTCCACAGTTTTACAGTCTTCCTCCAGGTCCTTCTGGCTTGTTCATCATTTTCTATGCCTCAAATGACAGCAAACCTACAGTGGAAAAATCTCACACACTGTCCTACAAAGAGATCTGAGATTCTTTTAGCCTCTAAGTCACAAAACCACAAACATCCTCTATGGTAATTCTGCCTTGTCATGGTGATGAGACATCTGGTGACTAAAGCCTGCATAGCACTAGTAAGAGAGAGTTTCCATTTTATTAAATTTAGGTGATCAGACCCCAGACCTTGTAAGTTCTGAACTAGAGTGCTTGAATTATAAATTTCTTATTGAGTTATAGACTGTATTATATATATATTATACTGAATATCTTTTAAGGCCCAGACACTGCTTTTAAGGACTTTATATAAGAACTCGAAAAATATTTGTTTTTGTTTTTGTTTTTGTTTTTTTAGCAGTGCTGGGGATCAAATTCAGAGGCCTCATAGACAGACTATACCCACAGCCCAAGACCTCAAATATTAATCATTGAGCACCTACTTTGTGACAGGCACTGTACCAGATGGTTTACATGAGATCTCTAGGCCACATTCCTTTCACCTCTAGTAACCAGACATTAATCATTTGAACACATATTTCCCTAAGGGTGAGTTACATACACTGAAGTAATGTCTTTTGTGTTCAGAACATTATTTGGACCCTGTAAGTTTATCCTCTTCATTGTAACACAGAAAAGAAAGAGAACAGATTAGGGTCGTCTGATTTGAGTCACCAATGCCCAGGTTTTCTCTATTTGGGGTATCTGAAGACAGTAGCAATGGAAATTTGAAAAGCAATAGCAGAACCACTAAAGACTATTTCCTAAATCAAATGGGTGTTTTGATGGCATAAGAGATGAGCTTTCTGCCGAAAGCTCTTATCACATTTACTACAGTGAAATGGTTTTTCTCCTGTATGTGTTCTCTGGTGCGTGAGAAAATGGGAACGCTGGTTGAAGGTCTTGCCACATTCGGGACAGGGGTAGGGTCTGTCTCCTATGTGAATGCGTTGGTGGGTAGTGAAATGAGAGCTCTGATTGAAGCTCTTTCCGCACTCGCCACATTTGTAGGGTCTTTCTCCTGTGTGGATTCGTTGGTGCTTAATGAGGGCAGAGCTATCAGCAAATCCCTTCCCACAGTCGTTGCACTTAAAAGGTCTCTCACCAGTATGTGTCCTCTGGTGTGTAACCAGATGGGAACTCTGACTGAAACTTTTGTGGCACTCGGGACAACTGAAAGGCCTTTCTCCTGAGTGAGTACTCATGTGTGATACAAAATGAGAACTGTCTCTGAAGCCCTTCCTACACTCTGGGCATTTAAAAGGCCGTTCTCCTGTGTGGGTTCTTTGGTGCTTAATCAAATCTGAGCTCTGGCTAAAACTGTCCCCACAGTCGTTACACCTGTAAGGCTTCACGCCTGTGTGAATCCTCTGGTGGGTGATGAAATTTGAGCTTCGACTAAAGCTTTTATGACATTCGAGGCATGTGTAGGGCTTTTCTCCTGTGTGGGTTCTTTGGTGCATTGTGAGGTGTGGCTTCCGTCCAAAAGTCTTCCCACACTCTGGGCACCCATAAGGTCTCTCCCCTGTGTGGGTTCTCTGATGTTTGATGAGAGTTGAGCTGTCGCTGAATTTTTTCTCACACTTGCTGCATTGGTAGGGCTTCTCTCCTGTGTGTGTTCTGCGATGAGTGACGAGGTCTGAGCTCTGTTTGAAGCCTTTCCCACACTCGATGCATTTATAAGGTCTCTCACCAGTATGGGTTCTTAGGTGTCTTATGAGATAAGAACTCTGGTTAAAGCTTTTCCCACATTCTGCACACATAGGCTTTTTTCCTACATATCCACACAGGAACTTGTTTAAATCCCTGGCCTGTGCAAAGGGCTCCTGCTGGCCCTCTCCTAGAAGCATTCTATGTTGCCCTCCTACTTCAAGGGCCCTGTTCCAGTTTCCTCCCCAATTAGGAACATGAGAAATATTTTTATTGGTCCTTTCTGAGGATGTTGCACATTGTTCTGTTGTTTCAGAAATGTCCTGACTGAGTTTTGCCACCTGATGGTCCAAGTCTGAAAAAATTAATGGAAGTAACACAGAATAAAGTTATCAGTTGTAAGGAAAGAACATAAAAAATCAGTTAAGAATGATTAAAATTACAGTATCAGCAGTAGGCTACACTTAATTTGATCACTCTGCTTGTTATTTCATTTGCAAAGTTTGTTGAAGACTAAGTGCGGCTCAGGGTAGGGTGCTTGCCTACCATGCATGAGGCCCTGCATTCAATTCCTTGCAATGGAGAAAAAAAGGTATACCATATATTGCCCAAATTGGGCAACTTCCGGGATGGGGATGTGGCTCAAGCTGTAGCGCCCTTGCCTGGCATGCATGCGGCCCGGGTTCGATCCTCAGCACCACATACCAACAAAGATGTTGTGTCCGCCGAGAACTAAGAAATAAATATTAAAAATTCTCTCTCTCTCTCCCTCTCTCTCTCTCTCTCTCTCTCTCCTCTCTCATTCTCTCTTTAAAAAAAAAGAAAAAAATTGGGCAACTTCCTTTAAAGATGTTATAGTATAGATAAAGTGAAATGCTTACTCAAAATGAAGTCAATTTCTGACTGACTGCCCAAGAAATCAAATGTAAACTTTGCTAATAAAAACAAAAGACTAGGGCAAGAGTTTAATACTCCTGTGACTTAGGTTATTATATATTTTTGCATTTTTTTTTCCTGGAAAAAAAGTCAGGGAAGCAGTCAAAATTTTTCATCTAAAGAAGGGCTAAAATTCTAGATTTCCTCCTACTAGGTAGCACTAACGTCTCACCTGTGTGACTTTTCCTTAGGATTGTCATTGTTTCAAAGTTTTGGAGTGGTAGAACCCATGGTGCTTCTTTCTGCTCCAGCTGGGAGATTACACTTGGTCTAGAAATCCTACACAGGAAGATGAATGAACACAGGATGTGAATATGAGCCAAGCATACAAGGCCTGACCAGACACCAAGCTCTCTACTTTCTCTAGGTAAAGAACACAAGTAGACTGTTAATATGTGTTTGGGCTCATTAAAAGGGCAACCAGAGTGTGGGGCACATGCCTGGAATCCCAGTGACTCAGGAGGCTGAGGCAGGAGGATGACAAGTTTGAGGCCAGCCTCAGCAACTTAGTGAGACCCTGTCTCAAAATAAAAATTAAAAAGTGCTCAATGTATATCACTTCTAGGTTCAATCCCCAGTAATGGGGGAAAAAAAAGCAACCAGGTGAAGTGCTAATACAGAATGGTTGCTACAGGAGGCTAAAGGGGAAAAAGCTTTTTTCCTCTGATTAAAAACAAAAACAAAAATGTGGGGCTGGGTAACTAGTGGTCGAGCACTTGCTTAGCATGCACAAGGTGCTGGATTCAATTCCCAGCCCTGGGAAAGCACATGCATGCATTCGCGTGTGTGCGCGCGCGTGCGCGCGCGCACACACACACACACACACACACACACACACACACACTCACTCACTCACACATACACACAAACCAGACTTGGATGATAGACACTCTGGAATAAGCACTATAATTCATTTCTGAAGACACAAGGTTAAACCAACGTAGAAAGATAAACTCATCAGAAACAAAGCTGCCATAATCTAACCATTAAAAAGAATCAAGGGAGTTAACAATAATTTTTGGCTTTACAATTTTCCCAGAAAGGCAGCTGTTGATACAGCCATGAGAAAAAGACAAAAACTTGTTAAGGGGAAAAAAAAATGGACATGTGAATAGGGGGCTATAGTTGTAGCTCAGTGGTAGAGCACTTGCGTGGCATGTATGAGGCCCTGGGTTTGAGCCAGCACCGCATATAAATAAATAAATTAAATAAAGGTCCATTGGCAACTAAAAAAAAAGAATGTGATGAGGCAAATGGACAAAAGAAAAAAAGCAGCCTATAAATATATGACAAACCCTTAACTTCACCATTGACTGAAAAAATTCAAATTAGAACAATGATCTACTTTGGTAATATGGTATAGAGGTAAAGAATACAAACTCAAGAGTCATATGCCTGAATATGAATGTTAACCCAGCCATTTACAAGCTGGTGACCTCGGAAATGCTATTTAAACTCTGGGTCTCAGTGTCTTCATCAATAAAATAGGGTTAGTGCTCACTTCAGCAGCACCTACACAAAAATTGGAATGATACAGATATTAGCAAGGCCCCTTCCCAAGAATGACATGCAAATTTATGATGTGTTCCATATTTTTAAATAAATAAATTAAATATGAGCTGGATATAGTGGCACATGCCTGTAATCCCAGCAACTATGGAGGAGGAGGCAGGAGGACTGCAAGTTCAAGGCCAGCCTCAGCAATTTAGCCAGGCCCTAAGCAATTTAGCAAGACCAAAAAAAAAAAGAAGGGGGTAATAATAAGGTCTACATTAGAGGATTTTTCTTGAGGATTAAGTTTAACTCTTTAAAATACTCTATCATTGTTATTTTACCCCAACTCTTAAATTAGAATATTAACTCTCATATAGATAAAATAGAAAGAGATGAACATTTTCATTTACTGCTGTGGTAATATGTAATTGATTCAATCTTCTTGTAAGGAACTTGGCAAACTACCAAATACCTTAAATACCTTAGAAATGTATCCACTCTCGGGCTGGGGCTGTGACTCAGTGGTAAAACACTGTGTGAAGCACTGGGTTCGATCCTCAGCACCATATAAAAGTAAATAAAAATAAAGGTATTGTGTTCATTTACAACTAAAATAATTTAACAAAATGTGAAGTGGTTATGTTAAGTAATGTACAGAAAGATATTATTACCAAAATATACATTCACAATATAGGCACAATTGAATGTACAGTATAATTCAAATATTCTTTTGTGGTTTTGGGGTTTTTCCTTTCTTTCTCTCTCTCTCTCTCTCTCTCTGTTTTTTTTTTTTTTTTTGGTACTGGCAATGAACTTGGGGGTGCTTTACCACTGAGCTACATCCCCAGCCCTTTTTATTTTTTATTTTGAGATAAAGTCTTGCTAAACTGCTGGCTGACTTTGAACTTTTGATCCTCCTGCATCAGCCTCTAGAGTTGCTGGGAATACAAGCATGGGCCACCAAGCTCAGCTTTTATTTTTTTGACATAGAGTCTCCCCTGTGTCTAAACTGCGCTTGAGCCCATGATTCTTCTGTCTCAGCCTCTAGAGTAGATGGAATTACAGGTATATGCCACCATCCTCATTTTTTATTTTGTTTTATAAATTTTATATATGCTTATAAAAAGGCTGGTAGGGAGCTAGGGATATAGCTCAGTTGGTAGAGTGCTTGCTACACATGCATAAGGCCCTGGGTTCAATCCCCAGCACCACAAAAACAAACAAGTAAATAAATAAAAGCTGATAGGTCGTAACTCACTAGTAAATAAAAGACAGTGACTTCTTTTTCATTTTGCCTGTCTTTTTCATCAGTATTAATTTTTACTGGGGATTGAATCCAAGGCCTTATGGATTCTATAAGCAAGAGCTTTATCAGTGACTTACTTCTCTAGTCCATTGGTATTTTAGAAAAAGCACTGGAAGTATTTTTTGTTTAAGTGATAGATAAAAACCCCATGGGGACAGTCCTCTTTTTTCCATAAAGACCTGGGTTGGATTTTTACCTCTGCCCCTTCTGAGTGTCAATGTTCTTCACTAGAAAAAGAGAACAGTAGCATATCTATCAAAATATTATAGTGAAATAGTAAGAAAAAGATAAATATCAAAGATATCTGTTGCCAAGCACAGTGGCCCATGCATGCAATCCCGGCTACTCAGGATGATGAGGTAGAAAGATTACAAGCTCAAGGCCAGCCTGAGCAATTTAGCAAGATCCTGTTTCAAAATTTAATTTTTCTTTTTTTTTTTTTTTAGGGCTGAGGATGTAGCTTAGTACAATGCTGGGTTCAATCCCCAGTATTGTTTTAAAAAACAAAACAAAACAAAAAAAACCCACACAACCCTGCAAAACATAAAGTACCATAAAAATATAAAAATAGAAGTCACTCTTAGTCTTTTTCTGCCAAGGAGCAACAATTAATTTCAGATATGTCTAGGAATCTAAGAAACCAGTGTCCCCAGATACCACTCAGACTTGGGCCCTTTCAAAATATCTAAATTTTAAATTTTGGTGGGCAGGGCAGTCCCGGGGATTGAACTCAGGGGCATTCAACCACCAAACCACATCTCCAACCATATTTTGTATTTTATTTAGAGATAGGGTCTCACTGAGTTGCTTAGTACCTTGCTTATTGCTGAGGCTGACATTGAACTGGTGATCCTCCTGCTTCAGCCTCCCAAGCTTCTGGGATTACAGGCATGCACCACTGCACATGGCTTAAGTTTTAAAGCTTAAGGAGAGTAGCATCCTTACCCTTTGAGAGCCCATTCTTCTAACTGTGCTGGGTGGCATCCCTGAAGAGAATTCTTTAAGCAGTGTCCAGGTAACCCATTCTTCCCTGAAGTCCCCAGCCACATCATTGAGGGTCATCAGTTCCTAAAGCAAGAAACCTCAATATGCATCAATAGCTCCCTAGATATTCTCACCATTGTCTGAAAACCAAAAGATGGACACTGTATACCCAAACCAAACAAAAAGCCCCTGACTAGAACAGTCTTGAGGTAAATTCTGTCAATGACAGAAGAGTTGCCTTTCTTTCTTTCTCTTTCTTTTTTTGTACTGGCAATTGAACCCAGGGATGCTATACCAATGAGCTACATCCACAGCCCTTTTTTTTTTTTTTGGGTGGGGGGGTACTGGAGATTGAACTCAGGGGGAACACTCAACCACTGAGCCATATCTTCAGCCCTATTTTATATTTTATTTAGAGATAGGGTCTCACTGAGTTGCTTAGCACCTCACTGTTGCTGATGCTGGCTTTGAACTTATGATCCTCTTGCCTCAGCCTCAAAAATCACTGGGATTACAGGTGTGGGCCACCATACCCAGCTCTTTTTATTTCATTTTGAGACAGGGTCTCTGGCTTCGATCTTGCAATCCTCCTGCCTCAGCCTCCTGAGTTGCTGGGATTACAGGTATGTGCTACTGAGCCTGGGGATTTCTTTTCTTATTCTGTTTTCACATAATCCTTCACATAGCCAACTCTCCCATCACTAAGAGAGGTCTGGACCTCCCAGATACGTCTACAGAACCCTCAATCTTTTGGATAGCTTAACTTTTTAAGGAACCTAGTGTTCATAATGGAAAAGATAAAGGATAGAGATTACAAGTATAATTCAATTTCTGAAAAGCTTTCAGTTCTCTCCAACTACATTTTACTCAGCAAATTAGAAAATTGTGGACTTTTCTTATTTTAGTTTGAGAACAGCAGACTCTTCTTGGCTTATAGAGTTGGGATCAACCTCAAGGAAAAGACTATGCAGAATCCCAAAGGGAATTGTGCTGGGAACCATTCTATTTCAAGGTTTAATGGCTTCAAAAATGAGATGTAAAAATACATGGGCTAAAAAAAAAATGGATAAGTTGTAAAAATAAGTAAAACTCAATGGGGGAGAAGCACAAAACACATCCCTTAAAGCTGAAAACTGTCATAACATTGACAGCAGTATCATGAAAAGATTATTTTGAGGGAGAATGGTAGGAGTTATTCCTGGATAAATCTGTAAATCCTTCAGTAATTAACATAGTGTAAGGCAGTAGGAGTTCCCCCTACCGCTTAAAGAGTTTTCAATAGAAACCCCAAGTCAGCCAGCTGGTGGACCACCCCCTACAAAGAATTCTGCATTTCAGTGGAAGAAAAACCAGACTGGAGTGAGGAGGTATTTGTCTTTCACATCTTTTTGTTTTGCTTTTGTTTTTTGGTCCCAGGGATTGAATCTTGGGGCACTGTACCTAAGCTACTCCCCCAGTCCTTTATCTTTTTTTTTTTTTTTTTAATATTTTAAAGTTGTGGGCTAAGGATGTGGCTCAAGTGGTATCATGCTCACCTAGCATGGGTGAGGCACTGGGTTCGATTCTCAGCACCACATAAAAATAAAATAAAGATGTTGTGTCCACCTAAAACTAAAAAATAAATTTAAAAAATATTTTAAAGTTGTTGATGGACCTTTATTTTATTTATATGTGGTGCTGAGAATCGAACCCAGTGCCTTATGTGTGCCAGGCAAGCTTGCTACCACTGAGTCACAACCCCAGCCCCAGTCCTTTATCTTTTATTTTGAGATAGGGTCTCCCAAAGATTCTGTGGCTGGCCTTAAACTTGCACTCCTCTTGCCTTAGTCTCCGAAGTGGCTGGGAATACAGGCATGAGCCACTGTGCCAGGCTCTTTAACATCTTTTGTTCCACTAAGCAAAGCACCTGATAACTATTTGAATATACACCGTTTTAATAGAAATATTTAGGTATTTACAGACACTGCTATTGCTCATTTATATTTTTAAGGATCTAAACATTGTAGGAGTACATTTCATCTCTCTGACTTAAAACCTTAACAGAAATAATGTCATTAGGACGTAAAATTTATAAGTTTTGAGTACAGATTTTATTTCTACATTCATTAAAAACACATAACTGCAGAGCTCACTTGCAGTAGATAGTGCGATTGAAGGAGAGATCATTTTTAGCTATGTTTTTATTAAAAAAAAAAAAAAAACTGTTTCCCACCCAGTCTCCTTTCTCCTGTACAAGTGACCCCAAAGGCCTTGGAATGGTAAGGTGCTATGACTAAGTGCCATTGTGAGATGTGCGAGTTTCCTCCCGGGTTTATTAATAGGAACATGACCGCACGGGTGGGGCTGACACCCGTTCTTCCTTGCGGTGCTCAGGCCTTAATCAGGTTGCAGCGGTCATAGGGTCACAGAGATAAGCTGAAACCCGGGGACCACCACTAAGGAGCAAGAAAATTGACTAAGATGATGAGCTATATACCGAGGGTGGTATAAAAACTGCATCTTCCCACAGCTCAGCAAGACCCGGGGCTCCTACAGGGCGAGAGCCTGGACCTGGCGTGGATAACGTCGGGGAGGCAGGCGAGCCCCCCTCCACGCCCCTCAGCAGCTGGTGAGGTGTCGCCTCAGACTCCCTCCCTGGATCACTCACCGCCCCAGGCCCAGCCGGGGATGGAGCAGGAAGCAGGAGTCCGCCGCCGAGCCGCACCCAGCCGGCAAAACTGAGCAGGTCCTTCCAGAACCTGACTGGGATTCGTGTCAGGGCTGTAAGGACACAGGTGGGACTCAGGGTTCGACAGCCAGCAGCCGGAAAACACCGCCCCTGGCTCTCTCCATTGGTTTCCTCTGTTACCACAACTTGAAATTCTCCTGAGTTATTGGGCAATTAGCCGTCAATCATTGCAAAGCCTCCTGGGAAATGTAGTCCTCAACTAGCTCGCAAAGGACTCCGAGTTCTGTGGTGCCCATCCAAGTGCTTGACAAGTACTAAACCCATTTCTCGAGCTACTGAACCATGGGAATCGCCTCTCCAGAGCCGAGGACCAGATCCAAATGCTGTACCTCAGAGGAGGATCTACAAATGCGAAACTCCAGGTCTCACCCGACTACTGTGGAGCAGCCTGGTACCCTGGCGTTATCTCCCTGGCTCTTACACTTCGCCCTTACCAAGCAAGAACAGCTCATCGCTCTGCCTTTCTGCAGATCCTTTCTGCCACGAGTCCTTCGCCTCACTCTGGGCAGATAGAACCTGCAGGGGCTGTGTGTTGCCGGCCGAGTTCCACACCAACTTGGACTAGACATAAGAAACCCCCGAGACCCGCCCGAGAAACCGTTAGTTAAAAAAACAAACAAATAAACAAACAACAACAACGAAAACAGACGTTCTGCTTTCTTTCATTAGCCTCACACTTCCAGGCATATTCCCTTTCCATTGATTCATACACCTATTAATAGAGAATGCAGACGAGGACGTCAACGGTAAGTATTGTGGGAAATGTGGTATTGGGTTCCAAACTGGAGAGGCTCCTGAGTCTTATGTGAGAGACAGTGAGCACTTTGGTGAGAGAGAAAAAAAAGAAGAAAAAGAAGAAGGAAAAGGACAAAGAAGGGGGAGGGGGACTTTTCTACTCTGTTAACTCAATGCAATGAAAAATAAAGTGTTTTGGTTTTGTTTTTGTTTGTGAAGGACCCTAAGATACTTAGAATTACCAGACAAATGGCTACTGTGGAAAATTCCTTTGATGCTAATTCCACCAGTCCTTCAACAAGCAGGCAAAGTACACCCTCCAACAGACACACATGGTTCATCCTCCAACAGATATTTATTGGGAACACTCTATAAACATTCTGTATTTAAGATCATTCTGAACTCTGTGGTTACCCACAGGAATCAGCATGGCCCTTGCTTTCATGAAACTCACAGCCTAACAGGGGAGATCAGTCACAAAACATATTAAAATCACCTGGGGCATAGTAGCATGTACTTGTAATCCCAGCTCTCTGAGACTGAGGAGGAAGGATCACAACTTTGAGGCCAGCCTGGGCAAAATAGCAAGACCCTGTCTCAAAATAAAAAATAGAAAGGGCTGAAGATATAGCTCAGTGGTAGAGAGCTTGCTTAGCATGAACAAGATCTTGAATCCAATCCCAAGTACCACCAAAAATAAATAAATAAAGTAATAATAAAATAAAAGATTAAAATGCCAAGAAATGTTTTTCTTTTTTCTTTCTTTTTCATACAGACAGTGGCATCTTAGTTATTTAGCTACATATTTATAGACATTTATAAGATAGCCATTAGCATTTGGGGGATTTTGAACACTATAAGCATATATCTGGTTTTGGTTATCAGTTGTATTTTAGTTAAATGGAAGTGAGAAATTGTGTACATATATGAATATGTAACAATGAATTCCACCATTATGCATAAATATAATGTACCTGTTAAAAAACATGGGGAAAAATGAAAATGAGGAAAATGGAAATCTCACAGGACCTTAGGAGACCTAGAGATCACCAGGCCTCATGTGACTACAACATAGTTCAGGACCTGGAGAACTGAAGGCATCTCTAGGCCCCTAAGGAGACTTTCTAGTGTTTTGTTGTCAGGGAGATTTTGTGGCTCTTCAATCCAGTCACAGTGAATAGGAAATGGAGATGAATGAAGATTCACAAAATCTGCCTCTCTTTCATCCCTATTTGTTCTCTCATCATTTCACCACAGAGCAATTATCCGGGAGGGGAAGCTTGATCTCACAAGTCAGTAAAGGAAATAAGACTTTGTATCCCAGGTGGCCACATAAAGAAAGGACCATGAGATAATGGAAGTTGAGTGCTTACTGGTGTGGAGAAGAGGAGAAAGTAGAAGAGAGAGAAAGGATTTTTTTTTTTTTTTTTAAGATGTGGTCTCACTATATTGCTCAGGCTGGTCTTGAACTTCTGAGTTCAAGTGATCCTCCTGCTCTAGCCTCTTTTGAGTATCAGGGACTGTCATCTTATACCACCCTGAGTGATTTATCACTAAATTATGAAAGTGAGGGTATATATCAGTTATTTGTTGCTTTGTAACAAACCATCACCAAACTTAGTGGGTCTATTTATTTATTTATTTTTGAGACAGGGTCTCACTGTGTTGTCCACATTGGTCTTGAATTCCTGGACTCCAGTGATTTTCCCCCTCAGCCTCCCTGATAGTTGGGACTGCAGATGCACAGCACTGCACCCAACGATTTAGTGGTTTTATTTTATTTATTTATGTTTTGGTACTGGGTATTGAACCCAGGGGTACTCTACCACTAAGCTACATCCCAAACCCTTTTTACACTTTTAAAATTTTGAGGTAGGGTATTAATAACTTGCTTTGGCTGGCCTTAAATTGCAATCCTGCTTCAGCCACCTAGTTGCTGTTATCACTGGCATGTGCCATTGGGCCAGGATACTTAATGGTTTTATATAACAAACATTTATTAAGTATCATTTCTGTCAGTCAGGAAACTGGAACAGTTTAGTTGAGTGTCTATGACTGACAATATACCATGAGATTACAGTCTAGACACTGGTTGGTGCTGTAGTTATCTAAGGCTTGCTCAGAGCTGGAGGATTTGATTCCAAGCTCCTTGGAGAAGCTGTTCCCACTTGTGGTCTCTTCTCACAATACAGCTAATTTCCCCAGAGTGAGTGATTTAAGAGAGAAAGACACAGAAGTTATCTAATCTTGTAAGTGATATACCATCATTTCTGCCATTCGTGATTGGTCACACCTTGGTACAGTGCGGGAGAGGACTACAAAGGACCAGGGGCCTCTCCCAGGAACTACATCCCCAGTCCTTTTGCTTTTTAAGTTCTGAAACAGGGTCTTAAAGTTGCTTAGTTTCTCACTAACTTGCTGAGACTGTCCTCGAACTAACAAATGTGCCTCAGCTTCCCAAGAGAGGGTATATATTAGCTATCTGGGATTACAGGCATGCACCACCACACCGAGCTATCAGAGGGTTTAAAGTGCCTTGCTCTGTCAGACTCCTGTGATACCTCTTTAGGAAACTTACAGTAAAAATAAATAAATAATAAAACCTATATGTATGAGGAGTTAATTCAGAATGTCTCTATAATTGAACTAAGATTCTTCAGGAGATTCTTATTATTGTGCAGTTGTTCAGGTTACCAGGTAAAAATAAGTCTCCTTGGGGTTTTAAACAGACTAATTTGGGTTAAGTCTTAGTTAATTTAATGTTCAAAAGTCTTAGAAGACCAGGCCATTTATTTATTTTAATTTTTTTTTTTTTAAAGAGAGAGAGAGATGGGCTGGGGATGTGGCTCAAGCGGTAGCGCGCTCGCCTGGCATGCTTGCGGCCCGGGTTCGATCCTCAGCACCCCATACCAACAAAGATGTTGTGTCTGCCGAGAACTAAAAAATAAATATTAAAAAAAAATTCTCTCTCTCTCTCTCTCCTCTCTCACTCTCTCTTTTAAAAATAAAATAAAATAAAAGAGAGAGAGAAAGAATTTTCAATATTTATTTTTTAGTTTTCAGCGGACACAACATCTTTGTTTGTATGTGGTGCTGAGGATCAAACCTGGGCCACACGCATGCCAGGTGAGTGTGCTACCGCTTGAGCCACATCCCCAGTCCCTTGTTTGTTTTAATTTTGAGACAAAGTCTTGCTAAATTGCTTAGAGCTTTGCTAAATTGCTGAGGCTGGTCTTGATTGTGATCCTCCTCCTTCTAGCCTCCAACTGAGTTGCTAGGATTACAGGTGTGTACTATGGTGACCCACACCTCATTTTTTTTGTCCTCTAACATCTTTTCCATGAGCACCGATTCACTCCACCTGAGATTCAGCTAAACTCGCCAGATCACTGCATGGCCTCTGACCTCATCACAACCCTATTGACCCATTTAAGCCTAGTGGCCTGTTCTCTTTGGTGCCCACTGAGGCTGTTACCCTGAAGCTGTGGTGACAGTTTCTTGGAAGGCCCTTAGTCATGTGGGGATCATTTGGGAGACTTCTTAGTTTTCAACTTCAGTTGTTCCTATTACCCTCATTGGGAGCACTTGGAATCTTGTAGAACCCTTCATGCTACATAGGATCAAAGAAATCTCTGATTCTACCTCTGACTTAATTCAGGCATGGCTGCTATGTCTACTCTGCTGCACATGTTGGCTCAGGGGTACTCTGTGGGCCCATTTCCTTTAACAGTTGAAAAAAAAGTAGGTGTTGGGGTGTACTTCAATGGTGGAATGCATTTGTAGCATGCCCAAGGCTTGGATTTGATCCTTAGCATCCAAACACAACAACAAAAAGTAGGCTACAATTTCCTTTATTTCAGCTTCTCTTTTGACTTTTCCCTCACCCTTCCCTTCCCACTGACAGATTTCTTGGCCTACCTTTAACAGTAGAAGACTGTCAGGAAATATATCAAGGTGGCACATGCCTGTAACTCCAGCAATTTAGGAGGCTGAGGCAGGAGGATCTCAAGTTCAAACCCAGTCTGGGCAATTTAGTGAGGCCTTGTCTCCAAATAAAAAATAAAAAGGACTGGGGATATAGCTCAGTTGTAGAGCACCCTTGGGTTCAATCCCCAGAACTGCAAAAACAAAAACAAAAGAAAATTGTATTTAGCCAGGTATGGTGGCACAGGTGCTTGTAATTCCTGGTACTCAGGAAGTTGAGGCAAGAGGATTGTGAATGTGAGGCCAGCCTGGGAAACAGAGAAATCCTATCTCCAAATTTTTTCAATTAAAAAAAAAAGTATATCTATAATGAATGGCACTAGCTAGTGTGGTGTAGCCAAATCAGGGATTTTTTTTTTTCATATGTAT